GACTGCAGAGAAATGCTGGCCCATCTCATTCAGCCTCACAACGGCAATAACTAGTATTCATTTGTTCTAGTGATCCACTCCCAATCTGTAATTCATCATCAATACAAATTCAGTCTGCATTAATCAGAGTAGGATGTCGATGTTATGCCTTCTTGAGACAAACCTAATAATAGGTATTTCATATTAATTTGAACAATGACCAACATAATATGCATGACAGCTTTGACTCCCAGATCATTTGCAAAGGATATGTTCAGTTCTGGGATGTAATGAAGCAAGCAAACTATACACATGTATTATCAGTTTGACTACAATTTGTTTCTAACTAAGATTCATGAAAAATGTCAAGAAACACATGTTCTAGCTAAAGAGAGCGAGTCCTTGATCTTTTCATTTACAAACATTTAGAAATGGGGTAAAATGACCATCATAATTCCCCAGGGACCAACATGAAGTCATAAAGTATCCATCGAAACCCAAAGATATTCACTTAACGATACAAAACTGAGAAAAGCAGCACATCCTCACACCTTGGAAGCTGAAACTAACATATGTTTAACATTTTTAAATAGATTAATTGTTGGTGGGTTTCGAATGAGAGGAGGACCCTTACATTAGACTCATGACGACTCATTCTTTGTGACTCATCCTTAGCCGGAGGTTTGCTGCAGTTCAGGAAGATGCTGAGTTTATACAGTACTTGCAAAAGTGCCCCGTGTGAGATAATAGAACAGCCATCCATGATGATGCACCGGTGCATAAAAAAAAAGCATGTATATCATTTGCATCATGTGCTCTATCAACTGTACGATGTTGTTCCCTTTCTCCTCCCATACACACATGAAGAAACACACACACACACACACACACACACACACACACACACACACACACACACACACACACACACACACACACAGTGAATGGTTTGGGCACATCTCAAAGGACAGCTTCTGCATGACTTGGTCCATGGTGGAGAGGAGGGGACCTTACAGCTGTTTTGTAGCGGAATATGCCATCCACTGACAGTGTGCCACACAGGCCAAGAGCTACACACACACACACCACACACACACACACACACACACACACACACACACACACACACACACACACACACACACACACACACACACACACACACACACACACACACACACACACACACACACACACAGTGAAACCATCCTCTAGAGTCTAGAATCTCCTGCAGACATGGCTGATTATTAATTTGCCTCGCTCTTGTGCAGACTCAGTACTGACTGAAGATTCAGGAAACCTACTACTATGCCACAACTATGCTGACTGAAGTAAACCTTTAAACCACAAAACCAGTCAGCCACACAGTGTAGGGTTCATTATTATAAGCCAAGTAAATGTCAATAGCTGCCTTAACTACAGCCTTTAATGCCTCAGGGCATGTTAACAAACCAAACTGACAAGCGTGTGTTTCTACTGGTGTCATAACCTGGGAAGAATTTCACTTTGGGCCTTTTTGATGATTAATTATGTGATTGCCAGAAGCACAGGAGGTATGAGGATGATATTGTTTGTTTTTATTACTAGTTTTTGAGTCTTGCATTCTACTGTGAGGTTTTTCCTATTCTCAGGTTTCTCTTGAAAACGTGATCTAAATCTCAGTTGCTTTTTTCATGGGAGTCATGGGAGCCTGAAAACCCATAGCATCAATTACATCAATATTTGACATTTCTACAATTCATCCAAATCCAACATAAAGTGCAGGAAGTGGTGTGGCCTTTATGTAACAATGTAAAACATATTTGACTTTACTCTGGGAGACCAGAGATTGCATCTTATCGCAGATTTGCAATAAAAATAACCTTTTCTTAACCTTAACTGAAGGAGCCAAATGCTAAGATAGCCTGCGTTCATTAAACATCGTTAAACCCTAACTTCAGTATGGACTATTCTGAAGAACGCGTCACAGCAGTGAGACAAGTTTATACCAAAATATCAGATTTATTTGGAATTATGTCGCAACATTAACCATATTTTTAGTAACCTAAACCATAACATAGCCAAAGGTGAGCTGAAGGCTAACATAAAAAAATGGCAATGGATGTTAAGAAAACGTTGTCGATGGAACACAATCTGGGATTTTTGCAGAATTGTCCAATATAAACATTCTACTAACAGTATACTTCTGTCCTCCTAGTCCCCTTTATAGTGTGCTCAGTGGAGTCAGAGATTGGTCAACTGAGGGCAAATAGTTACATCATCTATACTCCAGATGTAGGCTGAAAAAGAGAGATCATTCTAAGACCAACTTTCTGGGAGATCCCTTTTCTCTCTGGTACCGTCTTAAAACACAACTATAACACCGCTGTTGACGCTGCAGAATAAATCACCCGTGTTGTAGTTTGATTTGTTTGCACATGGCCATCAAAGAGGTTGAGATGCTGGTGAGGTGAGAAAATAAGGAAGGCACTGCAAGGAAAAGGTCACTTTTATAATTGTGTTGTGAAGGTGTGATGATGAGGATTGTTTGTGCATGTAGGGGAAGTGGAAAAATGTCAAGTTAATTAAAGCCTGCATAGCATCGCGTACATCAGAGTGATCAGCAGGTGATCCCTGGATCAATATGAATGTTACAGAGTGCAGTCATGCTCACAGAATCACACACATGCTGCCCTTAACCTCTCACTCTCACACAGACACAGACACGCACACACACGCACGCACGCACGCACGCACGCACGCGCACACACTCACACACACACACACACACACACACACACACACACACACACACACACACACACACACACACACACACACACACACACACACACACACACACACACACACACACACAGAGTAGCAATAAGACACAGACGGCACTATGACAGTGCTATCGTAATCATACAGATGGTGCTTTGGATCATCTGCTTGTTCTCTGGCTCTGGCCCACAAATATCAGTGAATCTGGACACTCACACACAAACAAGCTGAAAGGGACGCACTGGGGAACTCACCTCACTGATAGACATCTGCCTTTTCTCAGTTAAAGTGTCACATGTCTGTTGATGAAAGTGAGCGAGGTTCACCCCACTTGCATGCCACAAAAATCATATTTGTTTTTATTTAGGGATGTACCCTTCTGCTTGAGGATTCTTTGCACATTTGATTGCATTTATAAACTGTAAAACAAACACGCACACACACACACACACACACACACACATCATATCTGTGCACTAGCTGAATACCCTCATGGCTACAGTAATTTCTCTAAACTCACATCAAAGAAAATCAGTGATCTCTTCTTTGCCTTAAGGCTTCTCTGCACTGTACACTAAACATGGGAGAATACACTCAGACAGAAAGAGGTAGGACAGCTTTGATTCACTGAGAGCTAGGACACCCCGTACTCATTGTTGACTCCTGTTATATCATTTCACTTGGGGTAAAATTATGCATTTTTGGTGGACAGGCGCAAAACGCGAAGGGTTGGCACAACACATCCAAAAGACGCATAATTAAAAAACTATAGCGGTTTCCCCTGGCGTGTAGTTCTCACGGAGCTAGACATCCGTACATACACTTGAGCCATTTAGTCATGGTAAAAAGAAAAAAAGCCGAGATGATTGCGGGTAAACAATAATATAAAGGCACCTAAAAGCCAACAGATGCGATAAAGTTGAAGTTGCAGCAAAGAGATATGAAGGAATTGAAGTCAAAAGCAGATAGTAATAACATCATCGCTTAAGGACACGTATCACACCATGCACTATATCTATCATTTAATAACATGTATAGGATACACAGCATAAGTTATTTCATGCAATAACCATCAAAACTCACCCATTCCAAAACACGGATAAATCCCAGAGGTAATTTCAGCACATGAAACGTGCCCGCAGATGCAAGCTGCATGGGGACACAGGATAAAATGGTAATTTCTGTCACCAATTAACAACACATTGGCCAATTTAGCCCACCATCAAACACATCTCTGCGCCAAAAGCAGTCTCGCAATTTGCAGATTTACTCACCTGATCGGCGGTATCCATTTCAACAGCAGGCTTCTTTCGTTCTTACTTGTTTGATTGGATGTAAACAATGTAAAACCTCAAGCCAAGACCCGATTGATGCGTCTCCCGCGCGTAAAGTCAGGGGCTTTCGGCTCTGATTCCGAGACCAACCGGAAAAGCCCGAGTCTTCTGCGGATTTTTGTTATGGGGGGTGTTGTTTGGCATAGAGACAGGCGAGGAATGGTCTCCTCATAGAGTGACGCCTTCATTTTTTGTCATTGGAGGGAACTCATTTGTTATTTTATAAATCTAGGTCGTTATTCTTGTCTGTTATTTCAGATGCACACTCATTGATCAAAAGAAAAAGCTAATTCAGATGAAATGCACTGCACTCTAATATGTCCCGGTAATATAATAATTTGAATTAAAACAATTTATTTGGGATTGAAGATAAATAAATGTTCATTGAATCTGAACTAATTTGAATTAGTTTATCATTTAAATTACTTGTAGGCTGCCACAGCTGCAGCTAGAGGGCAGCAATATACTATTAAACATATTAGTATTATATGTATTATAGGTAGGAACTTACATTTACAATAGCAAACTCAAAATAAAACGTTGATACAAAAATCAATTAAAGTTAAAATGTGATAAATAAAAAAGTAATAATTACTGTATGTATTAAAATTGGAAATTGAAATTATTGAAGTCCAAAATAACAAAGTAATATTATTCCTACAAAAAAGAAAACATCTTTCTACAGTATATTGTAGCAACAATAATTAGTATGGTAAACCTTACCTTAGTCATTTATGTAACGTGTACAGTAAATAAAGTTACAGAAGTGCACTCTTATTTTTTTCTTTGATCCATAGAATCATGTCTGAAATGCAGCAGAACCACTCCTACCACTTTGGGGTTTGTATTATGCAATCTTTGACAGCCAGGGACAAACCAGGCTCCATTCATGCAAACAAAGACACACATAAAAACACACACAACCACACACACACACTTTATTTTTGCCGCATCTACTGAGAGAGAGAGAACCTGAGTCTCTCCTGCACTCAGACACTTGAAGCAGACATGCGCCCCCTGCAGACTGATAACACATCCTACCCAATCACCTTTATTTGCTTGTCATTTGAGCGGTCTCCTTTGGTGACTGAGATGAGAGAATTAAAATCCAGAGTCTGATCTCTGTCCGGGCAACAGAGCAGCATTGCCTCTGCAGGTAGGGTTAAGAACATATTAGATTTAGAATATATACTTTCTTACAGGACGTAGTTTTCCTTCTTATCTTTCAAAATGATTTGCATGATGCTTACAGATGAGAGTGCTGGCTGCCGCTTGGTCTTCCTCCCTACTGACACACACAACCACTGTTTAGACTGCCAATAAGAGTAAGTGTTTGCTTACAGTTGTTGCAGCTGATGAGATCATCTTCAATAAATCTGACTCTAATTATCCAAAGCAGTTGTATGTATGTAATGTAATTATTTCTAAAACTAGTTTTACTCCTGAACAGCTACATTTCACTTATATGTGACACAGAAAAGGAAAAACAACGTAAGTGATACAGTTTTCGCCATACTTTAACAACTGACCGTGTTTCTTTTAAGCTTTACATTTCACGTTCATGTAGCTGGTTTTACAACACGTCATAATACTGAACTGGACTGTGGCAAATACAAATAAAAATAATAATATACAATATCAATAAATATATAAAACAACTTTACAGTACAACATAGACACTATGTCACGAGTTAACAGATAAGGTACCACCATTGTGAATGTTATTATGATGCACAATTGAATTTAAATGGTTGATCGGTTATCTGTTTTATCTTTTTTTTATGCCACACAATACAATTCTGGCGGTTCATATTAATGATTACGAGAGGTAATGAAAACGGAAGAAATGGGAGGCTGTGGCTCAGTGGAAGTGTGTTGGACTTGGAATCAGGGGGTAGCATGTTCGAGTCCCACTGCAGTCAGCATGTCGTTGTGTCCCTGGGCAAGACACCCCAAATTGCTCCTGTGGGGATTGTCCACAGTACTGAATGTATGCAAGTCGCTTTGGATAAAAGCGTCTAACAAGTGACATGTAATGTAATCTAAAAATGGAAAATAGTATCTTAATGTTCAGCACATATGAAGTTTAGTAATGGTTAACAACTTCAGACAGGCAGCACTTTAAATCCTTCAGTGCTCTGAAGCATGAGGCGTCCTTGGGACTCTGTAGAATACATTCAGCCCTACATTGTCTGTATATGTAAATGTTTGTATTTGTTTATCTAATGGGCCTCTACAAGGAATGTGTATTGAACCATCACATATTTTTAGTAATACTATTTGTGTGCATTTTTTGGAGCTAGAGCCAGGTAACTGTTAGCCTAGCTTAGCATTAGGAATGGATGAAACTATAGACAGCTAGCTTGGGTCTGTCAAAAGTTCATACACCAATCAGCACCTCTAAAGCTATCTTTTAAATATGTTGTAATATAATAAATATATTTTATACCTTGATGGAATACATTATTTTCTAAACAAGGTGTATTTTTGATCTTTGAAATGGAACCAGGCTAATCTGCTCTGAGTTGTTATGCTAAGCTTTCACCTCCTTACATCTACTCAAACTAACTTTTCTAAGAGCTTTCCTAAAGTTCTTGTATGGCTATATTTATATTAGACAACATTGAAATTTGCTTCAAGAACAAAAACGGAATCTGTAGTGTACCGCAATTACAATCCAAAAAAGCCAAACTTTGAAAAAAAGGTTCTGGTATTGGGACCAAACTTCATGGAGCTAGTATCCAAACATTTTAAAAGATATGTAGCCTTAGTCGTTATGACTCTGGACTGTACGCAACATGCGGCATCATTGCGTCTGCTCTGCAGGACTTTGACTAGTGGACAGTTTGACTCCGTGTACTTTCTGCATGTGCCTCTTCATGAGCAGCCTCTCTGTAAATAACTCGTCACAATCCCCACATTTGTACGGTCTCTCCTCTTTATGTTTGGCTAAAACGTGTTTTCTCAGAGTTGAACCTCTGTTGAAGGATTTGTCACAGATGTGACAGCTGAAAGGCTTCTCTCCTGTGTGAGTTCTTATATGTTCTGTCATGTGTCCTTTCAGTTTAAAACACTTGCCACAGAAATGGCAGCTGTAGGGTCTCTCTCCGGTGTGCACTCTCATGTGGTTCTGCAGATTGCTCTGACAGGGTATGTGTTTGCCACATATGTGACAGTCAAAGTTCCCCTTGCTGTCATGTGACTTGCTTTCGTGCGTCTTGAGGTGCCAGGTAAGCACACTTTTCTTGGTGAATATGTAGTTGCATATGTGGCAGCGGTACAAGGTGGTGCTGGTCTTCTCTTCAGAGGGTTCTGGATCCTGTGCAGGGGCCGGCTCTGACTCTCTGCCCTCCTCTGCGGCTCTGCAGTCTTCTAACTGTTGCACCGTTTTTATGAGTTCTTTCGTCAAGGCGTCGCCGTCATCGCTGTCGTCTAATGAAGGTGGCTCGTTGATCCTGTTGATCCACAGTTCCTCTTTCTGCTGCTCTTCCTCCTCCTCTTTAATCTGGGAGGGTCCCGGCTCATCCTGGCACACCCCAGGGCTCCACTCCGGCTGTCTGGGTAGCGTCTCCTCCGAAGGTGGCAGTGTAGTTGGTTGTTTGGTATCTGCAAGGGAGGAAACGGAAACACATTACACTCAAGATCACAATCAAGATTGCCACTGCAAAAATAGTGATGCCATTAATCCACACCATTCGGGACTTTTACCTTTGAGATCAGCTGCCTCAGAGCCACATCAACTTCATGAAGGGAACAAACAGTCAAGAGTAAAAACCACAGAAGAGGCCCAAAATGAAGGCCTTTTTTTCTTATGTTACACCAAAACAATCAATTACTTTTTTAAGTTAAGGAGCCATTCAAAGGATGTGATGTATCTGGTTACATAAAATGTGTTTTTTCTAGCTTTCTCAGTCACATGCCAAAAAAGCTTTTGATCTTCTTAGCACACAGTTTTCACCCACACGTCATTTTGCTCAAACTAACAAAAAGTGGAGTGTTTTAACAGTCAGTCTTTATTCTCAACAAACAGACAATCTAGTACAAGCATGGTACACACAGAGTTTGTGAAAGCTAGTAATGTATATGTAATCTGTAAAGCTGAAACATTGTCCAATACATTCATACAGCACAGAGCACATGTATCTTCAACTCAGTCCTGCTGCATTGAAGCGTTGCTATAGCCGGCATAGTATCAATGTTTTGTTAAGGCAACACAAACAAACAAATTAATTATAATCCATTAGCAAATGCATTTCAGGGTCTACTAGTATTAAAGTATGTTTAAACAATCAAGCGAACTATTTATATCAAACCTTAAATACAGGTTACTGCAAATCAAACTATGAAATCATAATAAAAAAAAGCACATCAACAGTCTCATCAAACATATTGGTCTTCAAAAACTTTGGCCGGACTAAAACAAAAATCCGAGTACAGAACTGTTTGATTATTGAACAGCAAGTTAAAGAAAGCAGCAGAACTAAAGATATTCTGTTTTAACAACACTCCATTACCCACAATGCAACTCTATGCTTTGACAGTTAGGTCAGGAATTTGGATGTTTGATGCTGGTAGCAGCCTTGAGCCACAAGCCTTAAGCAGATGCATGGGGAGCAGGCAACAGAGGTCTGTTCAACACTTTCCAACTCTGAACATCCAGATTTGATAATTTTCCGACTTGTAGTCTTAAGTCACTGGAGGTGATTTATCAAAGTGTACACTGCTCACTCTGGAGGCTAAAGGTTTCTTCTTCCCAACCTTCAAACAGACTTTGCTATGCAAAACCTTCAAAGTCAATTCATACCGTCTCGAGGACATCTTTGGTTAAAGTTTCAAGTCCATTGCACACATGTCAACAATCAGCATCCATGTTGATGCGACCAGCAGCTTGCTCACTAGCATCTGTAACCACACCCGAATGTCATGTCCCTTCTACATTACTTTTCTATTTCATTTGAGCCTTATAACTTAACAAATGTAGGATCCTCATCAAAAGGTTTGCTTTAATTCAAAAAGTGAACATCAATATATATTTGCTCTTCCCTTCAGAAAACACATGAACAGCGTGTGCAAAAAGCTCATTTTGATTGATAATAAAAGCCCTTTAGATTCATTTAGTTTTACCAGTAGTAACTTCTGAACTTTTACAGTCAGCTACAGAATGTCACACAGAGATATTGACGAAGTGGACCCTCTTCATGTGCCGTTTGAACATAACGAGCACAGGAAAGCGCTGGCTGCATTGCATGCACTTGAAAGGCATGCTCTCCCTGTGTTGGATCCGGGCGTGTTTAGTCATGTTGGAAGATCTGTTGAAGCTCTTCCCACAGGTGAAGCAGGGGTAAGGCCGTTCTCCAGTGTGAGTCCTCACATGTTCTTTTATATGACTTTTCAGCTTGTATCCCTTACCACAAATGGGACAGGCATATGTTTTCTGGTCTGTGTGCGTTATCATGTGGGGGATCGCTTCACTCCTGTTGTCGCTGGACGTTGGTGAACTTGTTGTTGCATGAGCTGCGAGGTGCAATTGTAACTCTTCTTGTCTCAGGAAATACTGACAGCAAATTTCACAAAAAAAAAAAGGTCTCTTCTTTGTATATAGCGGAGATACTCCAAAGGACGGTAACGGTTGGTCATCCTGTGAAGGCATGTCATAATCCATGTGCTCTCCGACTGTTACAACTCGACTCAGGCTGTCTGGCATTTCGTATTGGCTGTGCTCTGCAAATGTCACAACTTGAATTAAATTGTCTGGCATCTGATTTTCTTCATGCTCTCCTTCTGTGACCCTCTCAGTGAGGGTGTGAGTAGTGCTGCTGTACCCCGGATGTACCGGTGAGTCCACAGCCTCGGTCAGTTCCTCTTTAATGGGCAGGTTTTTTTGCTGCTCCTGAGCAAAAACCTCCTGTGTCGGTGTGGGCAGTTCGATCTGCCTTGAATCTGTAACAGTGGATAGGAAAATGATTTTGGTAGCAGCTTAAAAAAATCACTTCTCTGATCACACAAACTATATTGGTGGACTTGATTAATCCCAAGGCGTGGTGCTCGTCCTTACAGCAGCAGAGACATATAATTCAAGTTATGGTTTTAAAACAGTGAGCAGGAACGTCTATAAAAACATTACAAGACACAGAGTACATGTCTCTCAAGTGTGATTCACTAGTTTACTGGATTACTGGACATTTTCATTATGGGCCATTCATAACATATACAGGTGAACAACTGATGAAAGAAACAGCCACTTCATTTTTAAATAGTTTAAAAAAAAACAGGAATCTGCAAACCAAAATAAATTATTTGCAGGAACTTCTGTTTTATTTTAATGCATTTGCTGTTCCAAATACTTGTGTTTTCCTTACAGTGATTGTATATAAGCAATAAAGTAAGTCCATGAATACAATATGAGATTCCTCCTCTGTGTTTCACTTCTTGCTTTTTCAAAGAATGTTTTCTTTGTGCGCCCCACGGTGTTCAAGAGAATACTGCAATGAACAACACAATGTATCTATGTGTGCTTGTAGCTTTTTGAACATATCTGCAGGGCCACGGTGCTTTTGCACGTGTATGAACATTGAGACAGTAGGTTGTGTGAGCTGGTGAAAACACATTCATCTATTCTGCACACCTGAGATTTTTCTATCTGAAGAAAGCTCTCAATTAGGCCTCTTTATTATTCATAGATAGTAAGCGTAAGGTAATGTACTTTATTAAAGGAATCAAAGTGATCATTCACTACACAGGATGAACACATCATAGTAAGCACCTGAGCAAATGATAACAACACCCAGATCCACACTCAAAAAATGCATTCAAAATGTTGTCTGTATAAAACTGCTGTCACATTATTCGCCCTCTTTATTATAAGTGGTTTTAATGCAGATTATTTACTTCTCCTACAAGGTGTCGCACAATCACACTGTATGGAAAAATGTACTACTAAGCGTTGCTTGCACTCCAGATTGACATCGTATGGTAGAGGGGAATAACTTTCCTGTGTTGACAACTTGTGAGCAACAATTCTGATTACTCCAATATGACATGAACCTAAGATAACTCTTGTCTGGCTGATACATCAACAATCATTTGGCAAATGTAAGCTCTATTTAACACACAATCCCAGGTGTGATTCAATACTGTGAAGCTTTGTTTCACTCTACGGGTCAATGACTTGAACTTCTCTCACCACAATCCCAACATGCTTTTTTTTTCCAGCCACGACTAGGTTGGCAGAGAGGTGCAAACAGCCTAAAACATTCCCATTAGGAGTAACGCACTGCAGCTTCTAGAAACAATGCAAATATAAAACACACAAATATACACATGCAAATGGTAAATGTTTCTCAATGCTGCGCATATGTTGTCAAGTTGGTGAAGACATTTCTTCATTTCCATGTGTTTTGGCACATTTGTGTTTTAATATTTGCACGTTTTCTCCTGAGAGTAAAGTGTCGGGCCAGCTACTTATATGATGTTGCAGACAGTTGGCACCTGTCGGCCACCGTAAACTCCTCATAAAAATGACCAGGTTAGAATTACAAACAGAAAATCACAAAAGAGAAATGCAGTTTCAATAAGCGACATCATATAAGCGACACATTCCTGGAAGAAAACAATGTGACAAACAATGAATGTAAGCATTGACGAACCATTGTTGTTCATTTTCTTACTTGCAAGAGTAGCGTTGCCATTGGTGACGGTGTCAAGGCCATTCAGGCTAAGGATGGCCATATTACTGGGCTCTTCTCAAGGTGTTTTTCATGTTATTTGCTACACCAGATCATTTGCAAATGTGCTACAATCTAAGGGTTCATAATCCCCCTGCCTAAATATGACCTCTTTAACAAGACTATAAGTGGGGTTTGATTTAATACAATTGGTTATTGTTAGATCGGTACAATTTAACACCATTTGACCATGGTATCCCTCAAATATACAAATATATTTGTTTTATATGCAGTACATAAATCCATATAAATAATTTTGACTTGCACTTCAGGGCCACCGTATACATATTCTGAAATGCTGTGGTGTTTTGTGAAATGCTGTGGTGTTTTGTGAAATGCTGTGGCGTTTTGTGAAATGCTGTGGTGTTTTCTGAAATGCTGTAGTGTTTTGTGAAATGCTGTGGTGTTTTCTGAAATGCTATGGTGTTTTCTGAAATGCTGTAGTGTTTTGTGAAATGCTGTGGGGTTTTGTGAAATGCTGTGGTGTTTTGTGAAATGCCGTAATGTTTTGTGAAATGCTGTGGTGTTTTCTGAAATGCTGTGGTGTTTTCTGAAATGCTGTAGTGTTTTGCGAAATGTTGTTTTGACATGCACTTACGTCTTTCTAAGACCAATTATTATAATTGCCCGTATAACATATATTATCATACTATGCCTACATATAAATTGACCGGATATTTACTCTCTTGACTGTCTTCAGCTGGAAAACAGTAACGCTAGCTAAAACTGCTTGCTAACATAATGTAGCTTAATGTAGCAAATACACAGCACGTAACAGACTGTAAACGGTGTTAGCTTCTGTGCTTTAATTAACGTTACTGGACAATTACCATGATAGCGTATAGTAAGGTTAGGTGCACACCGAGAAACATACCTGTTCTGTGCAGCCTTATCTCCGGCTTGTAGACCAGCTCCAGCAGCCTCTGCAGCCTCTGGTTCTCCAGCTTGGTATGGTACACTTCATCCTGGTAGTCCACGATGGTCTTCTCCACGAACCCGTAGATGTCCACTGCAGCTGCGGTTAACCTCTCCGTGAGAAAGACATTGAACGACTGGAGCGTAGCGTTAGCCATTTTATGATAACCTGACTGTCAGCTCTCTGTTGCCAGCTGTGTGTGTGTGCACCAAGCCCCCAGGAAGTGCGCCGGACTCGGGTGAAAATATTCGTTGTGTCCAAACGGCGTTACTACAATTTCCGTATCAGTCCGTGACGTCACTGGGCCCAGAAAGACTTTTCCCCATTGACTAACATTGGGAAAGAGACGTCTGTAAATCAGCGGATAATTTTTTTTAAACTAAATAAACTACCCAGTATGAACTATTTTATAGCCCTTATTATAATTATAAGGTCCTTAAAGTTGTAAAATGCACTAAAAGCCGAATCTAGATGTATTGTCTGTCTCCATTCATTCTACTGAGCTGGTGTGCACTGTTTAGTGGACCAGCCTTTAATATCCAATGTAACAAGAGTCATACCGCCCCCTATTGTACTGGACTGTGTATTACTGTAGTATCCTGTAAATAAAAAACTGTTGCAATATACCCTTGTGCAATTTAAGCTTGAATTGTATTCCACTGTATTGAAAATATGTAAACAGTACCAGCTACTTATATGATCACAAAATATATACTTCTACTTATTTTTGTACTTATTGGGTTTATTTACATATTTATATAATATGTAAGTCTAGTCTGTTTACTTAATCGGTACTATAATTTTGCTGATGTAATACCGAACATTTTGACCGACACATATAGGAATTCTGATTCTGATTCTGTCTAATTCTAATTCCAAAGATTACAGTGCATATTTATATATTGAAGCTAATCAACACATTAGATGTCACCTGACTTCCCTTTCTGGGCTAAACACTTTTTTATCAAGTTGAAAATCTTAACGTTTGTAAGGCATCACTGTAATGTCTAAGGTAAACGTGTATTCATATTTTCAGACAAATAGGCTTTAGTATGCTCAGAAATTATTATGTATTTGTTTTGTGATGAGGACAGGTGCACTTTTGTAGTTAGGAATGCAAATAAATCCTGAGGTTGCCTGCTTCACCAACAGTATATGTTCAATATTCACATAACATAAGAAGACGTCCTGAAATCATATTAAAAATATGTATTATTTGTACTTTATAGTAAAACAATTCTGCCTTGATTTTGAGTAAATGAGTCACATGATATAAAAGCTACCGGAAAAATTGAGAATTTAGACTATCTTTCCTTAAAATATTGAAATAAAAAAACAACAACACTTAAACAGGAATACTACGGTATGATAAACATTGGAAGAAATGTGTTAAATTGTGCCCACAAGAGGTCCCTGATGGTCTAGTGGTTAGGATTCGGCGCTCTCACCGCTGCGGCCCGGGTTCGATTCCCGGTCAGGGAACACCATTTAAGTCTGGCGAACAACTTCAGGAATAAATAAATAAATATAAGCATAAATAGATATTGAAATTAATGAATGTATAAATAAATACAAGTGGAGAATGAAACAGAACACACTTCTTCTATATTTCTACATTTACATTCACTTACATTGTTCAGAAAACAAAAGGCTACCAGGCAGGGGCGCCGTAAGGGGGTGAAAAGTTAGGACGATTCTAAGGGCCCGTGACTGACAGGGGCCCAAACAATTTTAGAACATTAAGAAAAAAATGTTTAATTAACCAATGTGATATATTTTCATGGGGCCCAAAATCCCTGGCGGCCCCCCTGCTACCAGGGCATCTGGAGTCAGGTTTCTTTAATATGCCCTTTAGAAACAATGGAATTAAGCCTCGGTACCTTTCCAACTTTACCAAACTTCAGGTTTTTTACCCATTTAAAGAAAACCTCCATTCAAAACGGTTATCTCGTTTTGAAGTCCATAATTCGCCTGTGGCTGAGAGGTAAAGCTGTTGTCTTTGAGTCAGAAGGCGGTGGGTTCAATCCCAGCCATGCAGTCATCATGTTGATTTATCCCAGTGTGTAGTTTGCCGCTTGTTAAATGTGTGCGTTATCTCACTGCTATAGTGGAGAAAAGCTTCAAAATCTAAAATCTCAAACCTGTTAGAAATCCCATCCCTTACACTCCTGTTACTGAGTTTTAGGTAGTAGCAAAACCTTTAATAGCAACACCATTGTTGGCGCTAATAAACATTTATATCAGGCTCTTGAGGGGCTCTGAAGAGAAGTGTACTTCTTGCGCCAAATACATCAATAAAAGTAAATCAAAGTTTATTTAATTAGCCCAATATCACAAATTGTACTTTTGTCTCAGGGGGCTTTACAGTTTATACAGAACATGAATATGCCGGAAATTCCCGGTGCTGTAAGCTTTCAAAATATGTATTGAAGAGAGAAGAGCCACTTTGTGTACAACTTGACACATAGCTCCCAAATAAAAGTGGGACTGGTCACAGAAAGTAAAAGAAAATATTATAGCAACTCAAAGATATTGTTAAAGACACGTCCACTTGTTGAACGTTCAGAGCAATTGAAAGTACATTTGTTATAAATGTTGTTGTATCCACAGAATACAAGGCTACTAAGCCTTTCAACATTGTGTGAAAATGAAAATTAATTAATAAATATATTTATATTAGGGAAAATAAATGTAGAAATTCATTAAATATAATGCGTGTTCTGTTTTAGTCTCAACTAATATTTCTTTATTTATACATTTATTTATTCTTGTATATTTTTTAATTCCTGTATTTATTCTGTATTTATTTATTTGTTACTTATGTCATGTTCTGTCCTCCATATCTACCCAGATACGCAGCCTTGGAATAAACTAGGATCCCAGAAAAAAACAAAACTTGAATGTCTGTTCTTGCTCTTTTTTTTTAATGAACCAATGAAAATATACAGCATGGCATCACTGGTATTGATACTAGACATATTTAGAGTGGATTGACGTATGGCCATCAATAACTTTTGCTGCCTTCACCGTCAAGAGAGGGAGTTTTGATACAACTTTCTTTTAAGGTTTGTGAAATAAAAATGGCATCGCAGTCATTTTCCCGTTTACTGTTTCAAGAAAGACAACAAATTGGTCTGCATTTGTACATTTTAAAGTGCATTGCAGTATATAAAAAGTGAGAGTTTCACTGACACTTTTATTAGCTGAGATGCTTGCTGGGATGTTAACAGTTAAAAAAAGATCCACCCACACTGAATCACAGGGCGATATACTGATGCTGTTCTGATAGAGATGTTGAAGTGTGATGGAGGACACCTGCTGTGACATCACTGATTTGGGTGTGGTCAGAACATATAGGCGTGCACCTTGGATGTTTAAAGAGCAGCACAGCAGCAGTTCTCATGTTTTTCAGATTCATGATTTTTAAAATTGGAAGCATTTTTTTATTGCATAATCGGAACAATCCACACAAAACACAAGTCAACTATTTTAATATTCTTTAATGTCTGCTTAGCTACCATTTGTGTTTTACAAGTAGTAGAAATGTGATATATATTATACAATATAAGCTTATCAAAACATTGGTGAGGATTGCACACCCTCCGAACTGGCTATGCTCATGAAATATCTTATAAGATGCAATATTCTACTGCTCCATATCATTATCGTTCTGCAGAGTCTTCATTGCCAGGCCCCACAGAGTGACACTGGAGGTAAACTGGCCCTCAGTGGACCTGTACGACCCACTGATGGGCCGGCTAGAGGAAGTGAGGGAGCCGCAGTGATTATCTGTGGGAGGAAGGTAGGGTCTCCCCATCGGATCTCTGCCCATTTCCCCTGACATCCCATTCTCCACATACGGCCCGTACACCGCCTCCTCACAGAGGTGGAGGGACTTGGCTAGCTTCATGTGGTCTGAAGAAATCATGGCTGTGCTCCTCTCCTGGTGGTTGGAGGAGAGCAGGTGATGGGGGACCAGGGATCGCAGCTCTGGAAGAGGGGTGGGGGTGGGAGCTGGGCTGATTTGCACGCTGGGAGGTGGAGTCTCTGTATGAGGTGTTGGTGGTGGTGAAGGCGATGAGGGTTTCTCTAACCCTGCATGGGGCGTCGTGCTGGAGAAAGGCTGCGAAGTGGAGGCGGGAGGACGTTTTCTCAGGCGGACAGGTTTGGGGACAGGGGCCCCTTCTGAGCTACAGGGGGGGTCAGAGTTGTCTGAGGGCGGGCTGTCGGTTGGAGCCCCCTTGCAGTGTCGGTTGCTGTGTCTCCTCAACATGGCGGAGCGGGTGAAGCTCTTTCCACAGGCGTTACAGATGTAAGGTTTCTCACCCGTGTGTGACCTTATGTGGCGCTGCAGGTCCCCTGAGCCGATGAAGCACTTTCCTACAATATTTAAGAAAACACACATTAAATGTAGATACTGTGAAGGCATTAGCTAGAGTATATTCTGAAGATCAAGCTCTACTTGGTGAATTCATCACTTGACTTAAGAATTTTCATGTCACAATTTTTGTTAATAAGCACCGGGTAACATTTTCTTGGAGATTTATTGATTCGAAATGACTACAAAACTCAATGTTTTAAATCAATAATGAAATGATGACAACAAGTCAGCATCAACACATTCAAAATTCCATTATGCTTGGAAAGCCTATCATTAGAAATAGTAAATCAAAAGATAATAGCATTGATTTATAATTTAGTTTTTAACATTTTAGAAAACACTGAAAAAAACATTTGGAATTCAGTAAAGCCCAAGGTGTCGCACTCAAAAGATTATTTTCAAATCTAAAGTAAATAACCGGAAGACATGCAATTTATAGTCACATTAGATAAAGAGCCTCAAGTCCTTCCCACTAAAAAGCTATCACCAATAAATGTTAACTTGTTTTTAAAACATGAATAAAGCAACTAATCAATTATCAAGATAGTCGCCGCTCAGTTTTCTGTTAACTGACTAATCATTTCAGTCCTAGGAAAGGGATTTATGCAACTACATCCAAAGTGAAATCAACGTGAATAACACTTTCAAGAAGATAGACGCTGTTCCCATCCTTACCGCAGGTGGCACAGCTGTGAGGTTTCTCTCCAGTGTGGCGGCCCTTGTGCTTCAGAAGCTTTCTGTGCGTGTTGAAGGACTTCCCGCATTGGTCACATGTGAATGTCTTGTCTGCGGTGTGAGTCCTTTTGTGCTCCTTGAGATTACTTAAATTGTTAAATCCTGAGTGACAAGACAAGAACAGTGAATAACACACCAGGAGAAACATATTTTACAGCAGAGTCTGTGAACAACGCAGCTCACACCACTGTGGATGATTTTGTAAAGGTTTAACTTGAGAACGAGACCATTCATTAAACACTGCAAATAGATTGATTAGGAATATTATAAAGAAAAGTGATTCTGTTTAGAGCGATCATTTACCTCGACCACATATATCACACAGATGGGGCTTCTCTCCTGTGTGGACCACTTTGTGACGATGGACATCCCCCGAGGCAGTAAAGCTGGAAAACACAGATAAATATTGAATTTTAAAGTCCTGAAATCTACGTAAATTGCCAAGATTTTGGAAACTAGTAATCAGTTAGGAGTTAAGGCAGACACACAAACATAAAATAAACACAACATTGAAAGATAATTCCTTTATAAGGGTAAGGGGAATGACAACAATGTTTAATTAGATATAGGGACATTTGATACATGGAGTTAGCTTACCTTTTACCACATAACTCACAGATGTACGGTCTTTCTCCAGAGTGTCGCCGCAAATGTGTCTGTAAATTTCCAGCCTGTGAAACAAAATAAGTTAGATTGATATCTAAGAATAACTGTGGGAAATAAGAGTAATACACCAGACAATACCTGTGAGAAATGTCTTCCACAAACATTACACTGAAAGGGCTTCTCACCTGCATGAAAGAAAAATAGGTTTGTGTCTGAAAACAGTATTGCAATTACATTACAATTACTACAGAAACGTGTTAGTGTTAATGTGTGATTTATAAAGACTAAATACCGGTATGTGAGCGCTTGTGCAGCTCCAGGTTGCTCGGGTGTTTGAAGATCTTCCCGCACACCTCACAACAGTAATGCTTGTTTCCGGTCTGCAGCGGTGGCTCGGGCACAGTCTTCAGACTTTGCTCTTCTTCGTTCACAGGTGGAGATCTGGGAGGTTGTACTTCTGTTGGCATCTCTGCAACAGGCTCCTTGTTGACGTTAAGGTCCTCAACCGGAGCTTCTGTAGCTTCAGTCTGGACCACTGTCTCTTCTCGCTGAATCTCTTTGGGACAGCTGAGGACAGGCTCACTCATGGACTCAGCAAACATTTCCTCCAAAGCCTTCTGAGACCGGAGGTAGTTGTATTTCTTTAGGTACACAGCCTTCTTTGGGCGCATTGGTTTGTTGAGCATGGGGTCTTCTGAGTTAGAGCTGGGGGTGTTTAAATTATCTGAGGGTGTTAAAGAAGAGACAGGGTTCTTGTCGACTGCCACAGATGTGCAGGGAGGATTGGGCTGAACTGTGTTTCCTGAGCATACAGGAGTGTTGCTGCCTCCCTGACCGACTCCAAGCTGAATCTGTGGCTCTTCCACCAGCACCAAGGGGCACGGAGCTTGATTTAAGGCTGCACTATTAGTCTCAAGTGCACTCTGTTTGAAGTACTGCTTACTGTAGAAGTTACGGAGCTTGTAGCCGTGGACAAGCTGTTTTTCTACAGGCGCCTGAGTGCTGCCGGCTGTGTCACAATTTGAGCTGCTATTAGAAACAGAAAGCTGCATCCTTTTGTTGTGGTCCATGTCTGCGCTGAAGCTGGTCCTCTGGGTTTCTGAGGGACAGTGGAGGTCAACATCGTGAGGAAGACCGCTCCCCAAGAGGCAGTCGTGCTCGGAGCTCAACATGCCCGGGAGAGAAAATGATGGGATCTCCACGGGTGGAGGGCAAGGCTTGAGGAAAGTATTGCACATGATCTGGACATTTAGAACCTGCAAACACTGAGCAATGTCCAGGAGTGCTTGAACATTATCTTGGTTGATGTCAAGATGGGAGGTGTACATGTAGTCCAATATTTGTCCCATACCGCTCACATCCTGGATGACCAAATTGAACACCTCATTCTTCTGACTGGGGGAATTTTGGAATAAAGACCTGGAAAAAGATCAGAGCAGTACTTTGTTACTCTAAAACAGCAGCGAATGATTACTGTGCTAAATAGAATGGATGGAAACCACACAAATACACTGATTCAACACTCCATTTAATACAAATAGGCACCTGAAATATGAGCTGAAAGCAGCAAGGACGTTTTTGTGGGCTTTGAAGCAGACACCTTTGACCACTAGCATGCAGTCACAGAGCAGACCCTGGATCCTCTGCTCCTGGAGCTGCTGCAGCAGGTAGGAGCTGTGGGTGGACAGGGCGTCCATGCTCACTCAGCTGCTGAACCACTCAGATCCAGAAAAACCTAGGGGGACATGTGTAAAAAAAAAAATAATATATATTTTTTAAATAAATACGATTTATTTCGTTTGTTTTAATTCATGAAACACAACCACATTTAAAGTGATGGTAGTGGGTTTTCTAAATGGATAAATATATAATTCAACAACCGCGCATAATCTAGTCGGTCTGTGCTACGAGACCACCCATGCAAAAATTGGGATGAAACCCACCAACATGCTAACTACAATGCTAGGCTAAACAACTACAACGGTAAACAGTGTGAGTCGGTAAGGCATTAAATCCCTGAAGAAATACATTTAAAACCGAAATTGAAAGTCCTGAATCCTTGTAGTTCAGTCAAGTTTGACATAAATATAACCTACGTCTGAGGAGTCCACCTTTTATTTGGATGATGGGTCACTTTTCCAGAGTAAGAAACGTCACTTCCCCTCCTGGTGCAACCTGTATTTAGAGCCGTCAAAACATGAAGCAGGAGAAAATAGAATTATAACTTTGAGACTAAGAAGCAATTAAAGTGTAATATAACGTGAAGTGTAAAATAAGTGTAATCTCCTGCTATTTAACTACCGAATAAAAACAAAGCTTTGCACACGGTTTGTTTTCACCCTGGTCGGAACTTCTCTCATGTTACAATTTTACACGGAAGACTTTAAGTGGCACTAACGTGTGGTGTGGTTACGTGTGTTTTGAAAAGTTTACGGGAATGGAAAGACACACGGCTCCATTGGCATTAATACATCCGCAGTAATTGGTTAATGTTAACATTTGCTGTCTTTGGATAACGTAAGCTTCTTTCGGTTAGCTAACATTAGCTCAAACCATTGCGGTGGACATATTCCGCATGAAGATTGTACCGATTTCGTTTTAACGTTAAGTGACACGTTGGTTGCAGATAGTAGGAACCAGGTTCAATCAAAGTTATAAATCCTTTTTAGACTAGCAAAATTGTCGTTCAAATATGGTATTTTTCACCTGCAACGGGTGTGGTGAATCCCTGAAAAAAGCTCAGGTTGATAAACACGTGAACATGTGCCGGGGTTGCCAGAGCCTGTCCTGCATCGACTGCGGAAAAGACTTCTGGTAATGACTGACTATTTACTTTTGCTTAACTTTAAAATGTTGAACCCAATCTGACTTTATGTGTGTAATGGTGTGTCTATGTTCACATTAAACAGGGGTGATGACTACAAGAACCACGTTAAATGTATCAGTGAAGACCAGAAGTATGGAGGCAAAGGGTACGAGGCTAAGGCAAACAAAGGAGATATAAAACAGCAGCAGTGGATCCAGGTACAGAGAAACGACACCCCTCACTCTTGTGTATTTGTTTTTAAATCGTCTTTTGTTGCTAACTTGATGATTCCCCTCCCTCAGAAAGTCCATGACGCCATGAACAAACCTGGAGTCAGTGCAAAGCTAAAGGATGTGCTAAAGGAAGTCAGCTCGTATGACAACGTCCCTAGAAAGAGGGCCAAGTTTCAGGTTGGTATTACTTCAGTATATCAATCATTGGCTGTTTTATTGAACATCTTGTGTTATTCAATACCAACAAACAAGAATATCTAGTCCCAGGCTCCTCACAACAATGCAACACAATTTTATATATATATATATATATATATATATATATATATATATATATATATATATATATATATATATAGGACATAAAACAAATCAAACCAACAATTCATAAGAATTCTGAGTAGAGCTATACGATTTGCAAGTTCCCATGGTTTTTAATAGAAGTTTGAAGAATAAGTTAAAAAAACTGGGAGTTTGTGGTGAGTTATTATGAAATGACGCACATGTGAAAGTGAAGCAGACGCAAGTGTGTGTTGTTGTGTCTCTCATGCATCTACTCAACTCTTATGTTTTTCTTCAGAACTGGATGAGAAACAGTCTTAACATATCTAACACAGGTCTTCATGATGAAGTGTGGGACATCCTCTCTGCAGGTGACAATGTAAGTAACTCTGCCTAAAGCTTACTTTAAGTTTTGTTTGACCAATTCTCTTTACACACCACTCACTGTGAGCCATTATAGACAGAGGTGAAATAGTTTGAGTTAATTCAAGTCAACAGTAATCAAATTAACTTGGTTTCTTGAGTTGCTTTAACAAGTACTCTTCCACTGCTTTATCAATATGTTTCTTATCTTATCAACAGTTCGAGAGGCATTAAGTGGCTCTGAAATATTAAATAAGCACGCTACACAGATTTATGTTATCTGACCCAATTCATATTATTTTCATATTGATAGGTTATCGCTTTATGTGGTTTTCCTTTTGCGTTTTTTTTATACTCTCTATTATTCCCTACCCATAATCCAGCAGCCTCCTCAGGCCCCCCCGGAGACTAAAGAAGCTAAACAGACAGTGGCTGAAGTCAAAGTGGAAACGAATGGAGACGAAAAGCAGAACGGCAATCAAGACGCGGAGAAGAAGAAGAAACTTAACAAACGGGAGCGTAAAGAGGCCCGGCAGCAGAAAAGTGGGAAGGCTGTGAAAACTGCTGAAAAGACGGATGCACAGGAGCCAGGAGAAGGCAAAAAGAAAAAGAAGGACAGGAAGAGGAAGCACAGCAGTGAGGAAGAAGAAGAGGAGGAAGAGCAGAACGGTGCTGGGAATGAGACAGCCAGCAAGAAAACAAAGACAAGTAAGGCACCCTTTAAAGACATGCTTACAGTATTTGATAAGATTGTATTGCTTTTTGCAACAGTAAGGCATTGTGTCTATTAGGGCTGTGCAATTAATCGTATTTTAATCTCGATTACGATTTTGGCTTGCAACGATTACGAAAACAACGTAATCGAAATAAAACGATTATTTTTATTTAAAAATAAATAAAATGTAATTTATTTATTTTTGGTTTTTCAGTTGAATTATACTTAAAGTTCAGGCTAATCAACTGTTAAAAACATACTGTTCACATTTTTTTTTTCAATAAATTGATGTTTTCAAAGTAAATGAATAATCGTTTTTAATAATCGTGATATCAATTATTGACCAAAATAATCGTGATTATGATTTTTGCCATAATCGCACAGCCCTAGTGTCTATTAATGAATATGTGTGGAATTGCTAAATTTTAGTTTGTTACAAATAATTAAGATTGCAATGTATTTTATTCAAGAAATGATGGTAAATGAGTTTATTATTCAGAACATCTGTTTTATTGCAGTGCGCTCTTATGTCTTTGTGTTAGGAAATATTGTCTTTATAATTATAGCGGATTATCTTTAAAACAAAAAACTTTCTTTTGATGTCTTTATGTAATATGCGTTATTTAGCTAAATATATACATGTTTATATTCTCTTTTTTTTCCAGCTGACCAAGAGGAGGATGATTCAACAGAAGAGACAGAGGACCAACAAGTTCCCAAAGGTAACATGGTTCCCATAGATGTACATGTTATAGAAGTGATGGTTTAACACACCAAAGCCACCAGGGGTCATTGTTGCTTCTTTTGTTTACAGCCAGGAAATGTGAATAATAAGTGTATTATCAACTGGCAGCTCATTTATGTTTTTGATTAATTTACAGGCAAATTCAACTGGAAGGGAAATATCAAGGCAGTACTGAAAGACTCAGATGACCAGGAGCTGCCCTTAAAGAAACTCAGGAAGAAGGTGAAGCATGAAGTGAAGTGTTTGAATACCATGAGTTTGATCCCAGCACGTTTTTTTCAGTTCTCTTTGGTTAATTATGATGTTAAGAGCTTGTTCCTCTTTTTCCAGGTTTTGGCAGCGTACTACTCTTTCACTGGTGATGGAAACTTTAGGAAGGAGGAAGAGGTGCTCGCGATTTTCAACAAGAAGGTCACCAAGAATCCCAAATTTAGAGTTTTGAAAGAAAAAGTTAGACTTATAAAGTAGACCTGTTTGTCCCGCCCGTCTGGCATGAAACGTATTGTTCATAGACTTTTAAAATGTAAAAGCCTTTGTTGTCTGCCATCTTCCCTCGGATGTTTTTGTACAGATGACCTAATCTCAAAGATTAAATCATTTTATAACTGAATAAGGTGTTGGTTGTTTTACTGATTGTATTGAAGAAGGCTTTTACAAATTACCTTACAAGGTGTCATTGTTTAATGTATGAAATGACAATTGTGACAGACGGCCGCTCTGTTTCACATTCCAAGCCCACGGTAAGTCTGGGAAATGGCACCTTATCTGTGGGATTGGATGTTGGAGTGGGGGAAGGGAAACAGGAGAGGTGCACCTGAGGTGAATTTGACTCTCACACGGGACGAAGCTAATGCACATTCCTCGGCACCCCGAACGGGGTTCACTTGGCCAGGGACACAGAAGCTCCATAGAAGCAAGATGCTTGGTGTCAGCCTGAGGTGAAGTTTTAATGCTGTCTGATTTTCAACCGCTAGAATGAGCAGCCTCTACGCCACACACACACACACACACGGAAATCAGCCCAGCTTTATGAAGCTCTAGTAATCCCGGCAGGTTTAACACTGATGCTCATTCATCACTCTGCTCACCTGTAATTGTATATTGCATACTTTGGGTATTAGTCAAGCTGTTACTCAAGTTTTCTAGTATCAACACAGTGTTTTTGTGTTGTGTTTGTTTTAATCTAGACCCCACAGGATACTCCAGATAAGCTGAAACTATACCTGTCTTTGCTGTTGCAAAACAAATCTTGGATTGATTTTTTTTATCTCTACTACTTGATACTGTAAGATTATCTGTGTGGCCATGTGTTATCTGTGGGTGCAATTTCCTCCCTGAACTCATAACACTGTCTTAGGTAAAAAAATATGACATGTTCGTACTGAAACAATAATGATATTAAAAAATGTCCATGCAAGTGAAAAGTAAAGTAAAAACACCTATACTATTTTCAATAGTTAGGGGTTCTACTGCCTAAACCTTGGTAGCTGGTGAGACCATTAGCTTAAAGTGCTAAAGTTAGCGTAAGCAAACTTGGGATTGATATCACTGTGGTGGAAGTCGTTTTCAGATCTTACTAAAAGTGGCAAACATGGTTATAAATGCTCTGTTACATGTACAAGGTAATTAAACATCGCTCTCCAGTAAAAGCACAAAAGTATTTGAATTAGAATCAGGAATTTGAATTGGCATCAAAATATAGTACAAGTATGAAGCAGTGATAACTCGGGAATCAAGTAAAAATAAATGTACTTAGTTGCATTGCACCACGGTTGTTGACATTAACAGCTAGTTTGAAGTTTTTATGATCTTAGCATGGAGCTTTTGATACATTATGTTAAGAGAAGTTACGTTTATTTTAACAGTCAAGTAATTCAACACACCATTTCTAAACTTGGCATTTATTCAATATATGGCCAATACTTTTTGGTGGATTCCTAATCCTTTTATCATCCATTTTTTTAGTTTTAGCATTTATCATTACCTTGTAATTGTCACCGGTGGCTCTGTCTAGCAAAAGTTGGTCTCCCTTAAATGTGACACAGAAAGCAGTACAGTAGTGAGTACATCTATTTTTCTTTTGCTATCGTAAGGAGGCGGAAAACATGACCAGGTATTCCTTCTCTTACTAATCCCCAGGGTAAGAGCCAGACTTCTCGGGCTGATATCTCAGAGTATGAGGTAACACCCTTATCTGGTGCATCTGCACAGGAACAACAAATGCTCAGTGGTGGAGGAAGTACACAGATCTTCTATTTAAGTAAAAGTAGCCACAGGCCTATACTAAAGTGGTACAAATCTTCATAAAAAATGTTACTCGGGTAAAAGTATAAGCATCAACATAATACTTAAGGTGTTCATTATGAAGAATGGCCAAATGCAGGATATTATATTATTGGATAACAATAAATGCAGTTTTTATCACTTCAATGATAACGCTGGTGCATCTTTTAATTACAGGAGACTAATAATAGTATTTTTTAAATCTATAATCAAAATGATTTATGTTCAATCTTAAAAGAAAATAGCAGCTTTTAGTCGTCCAATACATTTTGTGGAGTAGAAGAATAAAGTAGCAAGGAAATAATCAAGTAACATTTCTTAAATTGTGCTTGAGTACAGTCTTTTAGTAAATATACTCACTTACTTTCAACCGCAAATGGTCACATGTGCACAAGCTAACATTTGACTACATGCCTAAGAGTTTGATTAACACTTGTTTTAGGTGTACCCAAAAAGCATCAGAGTGTTACTGTTGCAGAATGAGTGGGAGCAGCAAGTATCCTTCACTTGTCTTCACTACACGTGCCCTGCCTGTGCCAGGTTGAAATTGATAGTGAATTAGTATAAAGGTATCAGCAGTGTCAGATTAGTGCCCGCGCTATGTAAAAGTATACATTCAAGATAAATGTTGGAGTACAGCCAGCTATTATGTATTCTGTAAAGTTTTTGAGGGATGGAAGCAAATGTGCCCTGTTTGCCTTTTTTGTTCCAATATCCTCAGTTAGCCTTTGAGGGTCAGTTTCAATTCCAGCCCGGTGGTCCAGTTTGTTTCGTGCTGTCTTTTGCCAAGAAAGAAGGATCTATACACAAAACACAGTGCTTGCATCAGACAATTTGGTTTTGTATAGATAAAAAAAAACAATGGGCAATTCATATTAGGGAAATGTTAATTGTAGATATCATTTATTGTTATCATGCTGCTCATTAGTGTGTTTTACTACGTTGCACTACAGTTGTGGGTACCATGTAGGCTTCTAGTGTAGGCTTACATCAGCTTTCACTATACTCTCAGGCAATATTTGAAAATATTTTATATTTGGGAAAACTTAACATTGCTTTCCATACTCAAAAAATAACTTGTGTTTTCACAGGTGACAGGAATGGATAAGATTAAAGGATTACATACAAAATAAGTATGAACATATTTAGAAGTAAAACTGGAAGACCTGTAGTTCTTGGATTACTTTTTGAATCACTTCGAAAACATTTCTAATGAATACAATTTATATTTTCGACGTTGTATTTTAATATTGATATTGTTTAGCTATGTGTTCACGTTTGAAAAAAATGTTTCTTTAAAAAAAAAAAACTACAACTGTCGCTTTCGAGTGCGTCATAAGAAAGCGACTCTGTCTAACAGGAAGTGCCTTCTAAACACTGCTTAGCCGTAGCTGTGAGATAAATTTAGCAACAACAAAATGATGAACGACAGTGAACTTGCCACTTTGCGGAATAGATTTAAGAAAGATGCGGAGGTTCTTATGCAAACAAGGACACATGGTGACGAAGATGAGAAGAGTAAGCTTCAGAAACATTGTGTTTGCTAGCGCTGTTAGCCACATTTTACAGGGTATTTTAAGAAAGTGCTTTCTGTTAACACTTGAATGAAACGTTCATTTTAAACTCTGTTCCTCTTTGGGCACTATCTTAATGAATGTAAGTGCTAGTGACAACACGTCAAATAAGCCGATCTTGGGGGCTAACCTGAGCTAACATAGTTGTAAGAAGACTAGCTAACCTTTATTGGTAAATCTATAGAATGGCCAGTTTGTAGTCCACTGGCCATATGGTTTAAATGCCTTTCATGTTCCTTTCACAAGTTCAATCATATATGCAACATTTTTTGTCTAATGTGGGGTTAAATGGTGGACAATTGTCCCATTTTGAGGCCCTTCCTGGTAGAAATCCAGCCATTCTTGATTGTTTTGAGTGTGAACAAACGCTGTGTCAGCTCAGACACATAATATCCTCTTCTCTGCTCACTGTCCTTAATCCAAGGGTCATGTCTTTGCCAGTGTAAACTGATAACTGTAATATAAGTTCGATTTTTCCAGTAGTAATCATTGCTGCTTTTATTCAAGTGTACACATCCTAGGTAGTCCTTCTGGCAAAACAAGGTGGTATAGTTTCAAGTCGTATCAAAGGTGGACCAACAGCTATAACTTTGATTAAAAATGTAGGCCAACTATTTTCCAGGGCATGGAGTTCACTGTGAACTCTGCACAGACTAGACCAGCATACTGAGACATTTAAGCAGCCAACAACATCCTCTGATATGTGGAATCAACCAGTAAATTATAGAGATGAATATCTCTCAGAGAAGTGAGATTATCTCAAAAAAGCTATCGTTTCACCTAAAAGAAACTCCTTACCCCTTTTGAAGGAGGGGATTTAGCACAAGACAAGTCCACTCTCATATTTGGTAGTACAATCTATACCAAATTATTTGATTATTTTGAGTCATGCAATATTATATATTGATGTACCACATTTAAGTGTATTTGCTATGAATAAATGTGTTGTTATAACCTTTTTAAGGTCTCTATTTTTCTAACGTTTACATAGGATGAAACATGCTTTTGAAACTATTTATTTCGTTCTTTCTTTCAGGTCAGGAGGAAAAAGATGCTAAGTCTCTCCCTCGCATTAACAGACACTCTGTTTTCTGGATCTCGGCATCTGTAGCTGTTACCTACTATGTGGATTTCTTCAGCAACATCATGGAGAACGATGATATCAAAAGGTGATTTAATCACACACACATTTGTTGCAGCTGTTGTTTGTTTTTTCTCTATTACAACCATTATAAGGCAAGTTGTGTTGAGTATGGTAAAGCGGGAAACAAATTGAAGTATGACACCGTTGTTTTGGGTATATTTCCTTTGAATTACCTATAAACACAGTAAACCTATTTGTTGGAAAGCATTGATTTCACGAAAGGTTGTTGCTCACGTAAAAGTAACATATTCTTTTGTAATATCACTGGTATATGATACCAACGAAACAGTGTCACTGAAGCAGTTTGTGGTGTTAACTATATTTTATGTTTGAGAAGCTTTAATAAGTCCCTATAGATTGCGTTATACTTTATCTCTTTTTAATTCCTATTATCCAGTTGGTGGTTCAATGCGGGTCTGGTCCTCCTCGGGATCTGCCTGTCTCTGGCCGTGTTCTGCATCATGTACCTGGAGTGTTACAAAGGCATCAATCACTACGAACAAGTGTACCCTGCCATTCCTCCCGTCACCACCGCAATCTTCATTGCTGCATCTTGCAGGTAAAACGGCAAAAACACATTTTATTATAGGATATTTTTTCAGTGAAAGT